TGTTAAGTACGGCATTATTAAACTGTTAAAGTATTACCAACACCCCACCCTCACCCTTTGTCCTAACCTTAAGAACACTTAATAGTTAACAATATTGGGAATATTGATAAAGTGAACCTTTGTTTATTAATGCTTAATAATGCACTAAGTAACGTTAATAAAAGGACCCTTATTGTAAAGTGTTACCTAGGTTTTTTTATTGTTTCAGATTTAATGCATAAAAATGTTACATTCTGCTGAATTTCTGCACACGTTATAAAATATTTAGCTGTGGTTTAATTGTGATTGTAAATAAATAAATAAGTTGCATAGTTTAATTTTTTCCATCTTAATCATAAAATGACCACTTGGCTGACTCAGTAGCACATTTAATATTTATTTGTCTGAAATTTCATTGTTTTTTGACACGTGGAAATAAATCTGAACAAACTGGAGGCTGACACAGAAAATAACTGATGTTAAAATTTCTCCGGACCGTCCGTCAGGCAGGAAGTGGAAATCTCTCGTCTTGTTTCCTGAATGAAAGAGATTAAAAACAACACAATTGGCTCAGAGAGCTCAAGGGCATTGCTTCTGTTTTATGACGGAAGCCATAATTAAGGGTCAAAGTGATTCCCTTTGTCCCTGCTGACCTTCTGTGTCCTTTAATCTGGTTTTCTTGTTTTATTTCCCGGTTGAAGCAGCTCAGTAGCTCAGATCGTAACATCGCTGGTCTGAAACGGTTTAACTAAAAAGGTTGTTGGCGTTAGAGAACGGGACCGTGGGGCTTTAGCCCAAAAAATGGGGAGGGGGCTGCAGGATGCCAAAAGGTCAGAGAGGACCACAGGAGCTCTGTCCGAGCGACAAAACCATTCCAAGCCCCCCCCCCCCCCCCCATCAGAAATCCGACGGCGTCACAAAGTCAATGAGATCTCTGCTCCAGTATCTGCTCAGAGAGATGAAAGAAAGTAACACTACACCTTCTTCCTCCCCCGTGTGCCCTCACCCCTTATCCCCCCGACTCATGCCCCCCAGCATGCTGTTGATATTAACTTGCTGTGAAGTAATTACTACCTGCTGCTGCTGCAGCTCCAGCCCCCAAATTCCAGCCAAATCAATTAGGGTCCGAGTTCTCCATGTGTCATCCAGACAGATAAACAGGATGAAGGGAGGCACATCAAAACAGAGCACAGCTTCCGAATGGATGAGCCGCCAACCCCTAGTAATTTGGGGGGGGGGGGGGGGGTCAACACAGACCTGGTTCTGGAGCTGTTGGGCCTCCTGGTTCGTGAGATGGTTTGAGGGATTTAGAGGAGATGTTTGGATTGACGCTTCTATGCTGTCAAACTCGAGTGAGCGAGTGTGTGTGTGTGTGTGTGTGTGTGTGTGTGTGTGTGTGTGTGTGTGTGTGTGTGTGTGTGTGTGTGTGTGTGTGTGTGTGTGTGTGTGTGTGTGTGTGTGTGTCTCTAAATGGGTTAAAGTGTGGAGAGAGTGGTGAATTAAAGAGATGACAAGGCAGGAGCAGAGGAATGTGTTTAATTCCCAGAAAGATGGAGGGAGGAGAAAGGGGAGAAGCGAGGCACTACACCACTGAGCCGTTAACTCGCAGACGTGACCTTTTGTCGCTGAGGTGTGAGGGCCACATGTTAGGAGGGAAGTGACCCCCGATTGTCCAGCTGGATCTGAAACAGTTCTGCAGCCACAGGCAACAGAAAGGCCCCCACTTTCATTTGTAAAATACTGAAATTTGTCTCTCCAGGACAACGTTGATGTAGATGGACGAACATTTTATTTTCAGATTTCTACTAATTTGCCTAATTGGGACCTATTTAGATGGATGGATTTTATGGCCCATGAATAATCCGTTTGGCCCTCATCTTGAAAATTTGGTGTAAATGGTCATTCCCTGAGAATTTTAAATCCTTTCATAAAAAATAAAGATAGATATATATATACAGTATATATATATATATATATATATATATATATATATATATATATATATATATATATATATATATTAAAGCCCTTAAGAAAAGCTGTCGTGGGTTCCAGAAGACTTAAATGGACAAAATGACAGAAAAAGCTCCACCTTCATGTAGAAACGTCTCTGCTTTTGCAGGACACCAAAGAATCAACAAGGAAATGTGAGAATCATTCCTGCATTTTAACTCAACTTTGTCACCAAGTCTCAGGAAAGTCTCCGCAGTGCCTCGGCCAAACAGCAGCAAAAAGGCACAAATCTGAAAATTTATGAAAAAGGAAATGATGGATGGTTAAAAACTGGCCATGAACTGGACCATAAATCCCACTCAAACTCAGGGGAGAACTAACATCAGAGGACATCTGCAGATAGAGTAGGAACGGCACAGAGAAGACACGTTTTAGAGGTTCTAATGCAGACATTTAACATGTTTATATGTTTTCAGCTTCCATAGAATAATAAAGAAAGTCATGATTTTTACTAGAACTTTGAAGAAATTAAAAAGGCTTTCTTGGGACTAAATTAGAGGCAGAAACATGAGTAATAGAGGTTAAAATCAGACAGATAAATACAATAAAAGAGCTTAAATGAGCGTCTGTGATTAAAATGTGATTCATATTTTATCGAGGTTACCGAGAGGTTGTGGAAAAGCTTCACTCCAGCCGTGTACACCATCACCAGATGTGAAGTTGCAAAGGAGGCCCTGAGGTGTAAATATTCCCCCATGATGTCCTTGAAATCAGATTAATATATGTGCATTTGGATGAAACTCAAATACTTCCTCTTTATCCGCTTCGGCTTCGTGTAAACACCAGCACAAGAGCAGAAACGGGAGAATTTAAAGTCCATCTGCACGTCAAAGGGATCATCGCAGAGATTCTTGGGAAAGGGGATGTCATTAATTCTCAGTTTTCCTTGTTTTTCCCCCCATAGTGCGAAGCTGAAGAGCAACAGAGAGGTCTGCATCAACCCGGAGACCAAGTGGCTGCAGCAGTACTTAAAGAATGCCATCAACAAGTAAGAAGAAGTCTCCTCAGTTATTCGCAAAAATAAGAAATGCGCTGATTTTCGCATCTATTATTGAAGCATGCAAAACTGCCAAAAATGTGCATGTTTTGCTGTCTACTTCACAAATTCTGGTGTTCAGCAGCTGAGATTAAACCAGCGAAACGATGTAATAAAATAAAAATAGAGACAAATCGCCCATCGTTACGTCTGTTTTTGTTTTTAAATAATATGCATGCTCTCATCCAAGTTTGTAGGAATAATAGATGCTTGTTTAGATCATCACATCTCTAAAGGGCATTTTCCACATCATCCCATTTAAATAGCTGGGATTCTGTTTTGCTACTGCTGCAGATCTGCTCCTCAAAACGTTATGACCACTGTGTGAAAATAAAGGTTTTCAAGAGTTTGTCACACATAGTTTGATATTTTAGCACATTATAAATGTGAGTTCAAAATTTCAACCTCAAGAGGTGCAAAATGTATCCAAACAAAAAACATGCCTGACAAATTCAGGCTTTAATTTTGAAAATTTTCATTTCTGCAACTGTCTTGCATTGCTAAACTGCTCTTAAATAATGTTTACTATTGCAAGATTTTCTCAGTCTTTTTATACAGAAGCTCTAAAGGGGCAAACAAAGCATCAGCTGTAGCAAAAGTGTTCTAAATTAAAAATGTTCCCATGAGTCGGACAAGAGGAGATGGGTGGTTTAAATAAAATCTATAATTCAAGAGAACCTCGTCCACAGTTGGCCTCTAACAAAAGCAAGGAACTCTTTAATGTTGGACATATTTTCTGATGCTGGAGAAAATGATGAAAAACATGTGATGAAGACTTTCTGGGCTGAGAAGGAGAGATCCAGATGATTGAATCCAGCTAAAAGCCTGTAGAAGCAGATATTTGTGTTCCCACAAGCAGCTCGGTTTATTTAAATGACACCTGTCACAAACAAAATCACAAAGAGCTTCAGAAAAACATCTAAATTAATGATTAAAAGACAACAAAAAATAAACTCATAAAATCATAAAACAGAGTTAAGCAACATCAGTTTTAAATGACAGGATCTGCTTTTTTAAGTCTGTAAGATATTCTAGAGAACTTAAAGAGGTGCACGCAGCTCCTTTAGGTCTGGAATTAGAAAAGGGAAATTGTTGCTACATGAGTTAATAATCCATGTAATCCATAATATCCTTAAAGGGATACTTAGCAAATTTATCATATTTTATAATTTCCTTGAGCCAGAATGTGCAAAAATGACCTTTTACAGCATTAATGAAAAGCCACCCAGCTCCTATCGCCCCCTGTGAACCAGAATATTCCACTTGCAACTTCAGACTGGCGGCCACTCTGTTGGCGGCATCATACCTGGTGTTGCAGTCTGGCTCCAGCTCAGTTCCTGCATGTTTTAGATCATGAACAAAGCTGATTTGTTTAATTCAGTTATTAACCACTCCTGTGGACTCTAAGGAAGGCTGCGGAGACATGTGAGCTGTTAGATTAAAGTGTTAAAAAGACGAACGCACAGCGAGGAGACAGTTTTTGCTTTTGGTTCTACAAATGGACATCGGGGGCGCTAAAAACAGCCAAAACTGCCCATTTCCCCTCTAAAACATTTGGGTAATTTGAACATGCATGAAACTTTACATCAGATTTAAAATTTCCACCTGATCCAGAGGTTAAAAACATATTTCAATCGTCTGTTTTTCTTTTCTCAGGGTGAAAAAATCCAAAAGACGCAACAACAATAAAATCTAAGGCGCGATGAGCATTTTGCTGTCGGAGCTGAGATTCCCAGGTCAAACGTCTATACCTCCCTGACACCGCTTTGGATGTACGCAAACACGCTGTATGCACCCGTCTGCCTCTACGGACCGCCTGCAGAGGGAACGCCTCACCTCCGAGCTGCAGCATCGCTGTGAACCTTTGAGGAGTCGCCTCCTGCCATCCTACACAAACGCAGTCACGACCTGGAACAACGGGACAAATATATCAGCTGAGAGACTAACAAAGCAGACCGTGTGTTTGAACTAACTGCTTCTGTGCCTGTATATATATTATTTTATTTCACACAGCTGTTTAGGACACTTTCTGACTCACACAAAGCTTTCGCAACATGCAGGGGCGTGTCCAGGGAGTGGCCTGGGGTAGCGTATGCCACCCTTGGAATCTGATTGGCCACCCCAGGCGCCACCACACTAATTTACCTTTAAATAGGCTTTTCATTGTCCAAAAAAGGCTTGGAGGTAAAACAAAAATAGCATAACCATTGGTGCCACCCATGCACAAAGTTGTGCCTCACCTGGGCCACCCCATTTTAAAAGATCTGGACACGCCACTGGCATCATGTCAGTTTTGACTAGCAGTGTGCGCTCCCGCACGGATGTGTCGGTTTTGGTTTTTATAAAACAAGAAGCCTTTAATGTGCAAACACCAAAGGAAATTCATTTAGGTCAAATGCACCGAGCTTTTCCTGCAGAGGAATCAGTTTTCACCCCCTCATTCACTCAAATTACTTCCCGCATCATTTAGGCTTCCACTTCTCTACTGCAGGATTTCCAGAATAAAAAAAGTGCGCAGATTTGACGTGAATGTGGCGTTACTTTTTAATTGAAGGGCGAAGAGAGGAAAACGCAGAAACGGGTCACTGGGTTGAAGCATTTGCTAATTAGGAGAGACAATGAGTTTGGCATCACTTCAGGAACAAAACAAAGAAGGCTTATGTAAACAGACAAGAACCAATTTTACGGTGCTACATTTTCACAATAAGAGTTGTCGTATTTCACAGCTGACTTTGCGCACGAAGGAACAAAAGACCGAGGATGTTGTAGGTTGAAGGATTTTTGCCAGGTGATGTTAAAGCCACGCGGGAAATAAAAGGCCTCATTAGTGCAGCTTTTTGCTATTATTTGAGATAAAAAAGGAGGAACAAAGATGAATGAATGAGTTAATAATCCATCTTTAAGATACACGCTCACCTCACATGGCATAGATTCAGGTTTATTTTGTAATTATATATCAGGAGTCAAGAGCTGTGCATATGATCAGTTTTCTACCAACACCTGTCCTTCAGAGGAATGAAAAGCTAAGAAACAGTCGAATGACTCGCGTCATAAAGGGACTGGAAAGCTTTTAATTATTCACTTTTTATGTTCATTTTTGAGCCACTTTATTATCAAATATGTCTTTTTTAAGTGTGTTTTTGTATTTTTCTACATTTTTAATCTTACTAATTGTTATTAATAAGTTGTACAGTAAGTAGCTACAAAATGAAGGCAGTTTCAGTGTTAAAACTCACTACTAAACATGCAGTTTGTAGTCATGATTCTTTATATGCTTAAAGTCGAGTCAAATCTGTTAAAACTAACAGAAAACAAAAAGCTGTGGAGCTCAGGTGTCTGTTTCAAGTCAATAATTATATATGTAATTATTACTTCAGCTGATGTGTCAACAGCACCACTGAACCAAGACAGAGCACAAAAAAATAAATACAAGAAATAAAATGAATCCATCTAACAGCAGCTCTCTGTCTGGACTATTCTAACACCAAACAACCACAAAATTCGCAAAATTTGGGTTTCTTAATCCATTTTTGTAGAAATCAACACATTTTCTCCACTTTTTCTATTTTTTTATCTTATTTAATGACTGGTGATGATCATCTTAACAGCTTGCAACAAATAGTGCAAAAGTCCTGCTACTGAATTCTCATAGATATGGTTTAAATCTCATTTAATTATGCTAACTCATGTAAACACAGTTGAACAGATCTTTTAAAGGTTGAAAATTCATGATAAATGCCTAATTTTAGTCACTGTGTGTGTTCATGGATAAATCACTTCATTTTTTGTATTTCACTTATTGAACTCTGGGATTTACTTCAGTTATTTTCACAAGTAACATCAAGATAATTAAAATAAGCAGCAGCCATAGTAAATGAATGAAACATCTTTATTTCGCTCATAGTTCACTGGGATCTATGGAAAACATGATGTTACGTGTATTTAAGTGTCGTTATATCTGCAGAAGTGATTTGATGTGATTAAACTTCAGACATAAACAGACGTTCATTAAATATGGTGCAACTACGTCTTTTAAGTGTGTCGAGAACTTACACAAATCACATTTTCTGTTTTTTTTATTGACTTTATTTTGATGATCGTTGAATCTAAGTGAGTTTTATTTGAACCCCAAGGCAATGTGAATTTATTTTGTTTCTTTTGAGGCAGCTTCTGACATGTTTGTTTTTTTACATAAACAAGATAAATTACATTGTATTCTTGCTGCTTGTAAACTGAGAGGCAGTATTTTAGTCATGACATCTTTGCTCTTTTTTTCAATAAAGTATTACAAGACAAAATCCATTTAACTGAGTCTTTAATGTTTTAAGGCTCTTTGAGATTTATGGGTCGTTACACCAGCGATTAAATCCAACTTGAGCATTTCAAGCACTTCCTATGTGATCATCTGAACCTGTCCAGCACCGCGCAAGACCAACACATTTATTTTGCTTCCATGTTTGATAAATGTAAAGGTTTTGGCGATTCAGCCAACTTCCGGTATAGTTTTAAGGTCTTGATTAGAAAACAAATCACATAACTATCACAAATGATCACAAAATAAAATCACAAAAACAGCACGGGAATACAAATTAGAAAAATTGCTATGTTTAAAAGCTGCTGCTGTGGAGGCATGTTTGAGACTCTTATTTTGAAAGTTTTGTTTTTGTTCTGCTGTGGACGCTGCAGAAAAAAACACCAAGAATTTGATAAATGTCTATTTTACACAAAAAAAATGTTTTTACTCAACTGAAACACACTCAGATAACACTAATAAAGACTGGTTCAACAGATCCAGCTTTATTTTTGAATTCTTCATAAAACAGGATTTTAACTTAGAGCAGTTTAAGAACTAGTTCTTTCATCCTCTATTAAGCATGTGAAGCTTTGATGGGGCTCAAAATGGCCCAGGAGCCTGGAAAAAGGGTTAAACTCAAGCCCATTATTATTTTCTTGCAAAAGAGCGAACAAGGAAGTAAATGTCAAGCTAAGCATTTGCCAGTTTGCAGACGAACAAAGAACAAGTACCACAAGCTATGGATCTAGAGGCATTGCCTGGCCTGGGCAATCCCGGCCCTAGCCCCAGAACATTACTGAAGAACGTAGTTTTGGAATTTCCTGGCTTTAGTGAATGTAACACAGGCACGATGGTATGACCGATCAAAGAGAAGTTGTACTGAGGCGGGTAAATCTTCCGTGTTTTATTGACTGACAGCCCAGCGTCTCTGATCTCTGAAGTTATTTCGAGTTCCAATTCCAACAGAAAATGGACATAAGACCGCTTTTGCACAGAAATAAGAGGAACGGTTCTACCATGGTGAAGTTTGTTAGATGTTTGTCAGACATTCAGTCATCCATGGTTCACCACAGTCAGCGATGGGTTTTCATGCTGTGCATTGTGCCAGAGATGACTCAGTTTCCTCTTTGTGGGTGTGGACTCAGCTCTCAATGTTTCCAGGTTCAAGAAATGCCCTTGTAAGGGTCTATCTGGATATTCCCAGAGCATCCTGAATGTCACATCACTGCTCTGACATTCTTCATTGCTGCTTTCCTCTTGGCCATCAAGGACATTAGCAGTAGAGCTCGGGCTAGCATTAGCGGTAACACGGGCTAGTATAAGCAGTAACTCTGCCAGAGTCAGCAGTAGCTCAGACTAGCGCTGTTACCTTTATTGCAACCACTGTTTATATACAACACTGAAGTAGGTTGAGACATGCAAGTTTATGACGTGTTAAACCAGAAACCGTTTCTCCGTGGCCATTATAACATTATTAATTTGTGTCGGAAAGCTGCTCTGAAGCTTTAAACACCCCAAGCTGCCTAAAGTAAACAACAACAGGGTAAATGTGATTTTTAATTCTAGGACACCTTTAATCTGGGAACATTTAAACTCGTTTCCCCAACATTTCCTTGTCTTTTCCTTTTTGAGTGGCACCATCATATTCTCGCCTTGCTGCTTCTAAATCTTGTCTTTAAATCAGAACTTGGCTAACATGAAAAATATCTCCAGACTGGCGGAGTCGGATCTCAGCCATTTTCCCCCATTTATCATGGAGAGTTATTCAGTCTGACGGTAATAAATGTTGACGAGGCCACACATTGGGCAGGTGGAATAAGCTGAGCAACAGATGACGTCTCTTTGAACCAAGAAAAATAAAAGCTCTGGAGATCAGACTTCCTGTACCAGGTTCACCAAAGTACTACCGGTTCTCCTGAAGTCCTAAACTTCACACAGTTTTGCCCGTAAAAACATCTTTAAGGCTTGATGAATAATTCAGCAGGACTGTCACTGAAGATTTTCCAACTCAGAACTGAAATCCGTTCAACAATTATTTTTCCAGTTAACAGTTAACGAGGTAAAGCACATGTGAAGCCCATTTACAGTTAGAAATGTTAACACCTGAGATGTTTTCAGTTGTGATCATCGCTCCTTCTCAGCACCGGGGGAGCTCACACGGCTTCATGAAGCTGTCAGCTGTAATAAAGCGGAACCACACAGAGCGGATTCATTTCACGGTGCTGCTCTCTCCTCTGACCTCCGCGTTGAAGCCTACGAGGAACAGGAGATGCAATTTGGACATGGACCAAATGATTTACAGGGTCAGAGTTGCATGTTTGGACCTTTCGGGCACATTCAGAAACGATTATGGGATTTCTTCACCGTGCTTACTCAGCTGACGCCCCAGCAGCGGACGTGTTTCCAGAATATTTAATAAGATGTACTGTTTTAGTGACATATCACTCTGATCTTAGTCATTGTGGGACTTGGGAAAGTTTTTACAGCAGAGGGGAAACAAATCTAACCAAACACGACAAGTCCTGAGGTCAGAGTGCTAAATATTTTTTGAGGCCATTGTGACTGGTAAACTATTACCAGTGGGATTGTTAAAGCCTGAATAAGGCATGTCTGACCAAGTTAAATAAAAATAAAAAACACAATGAGGAGATGAATCAACAGATAAAGCTGCAGAAAATGTTGATGCACTGAAAACAAGCTGCTTAAAGGTTCTGTATCGTACTGTCAGCACATATTACTGTTGGCACTATTGAGGTTTTTCCAAAATATTAATTATTTTCTTGAGCCAATACTTCTAGCAAGAAATAAGATGCTTGGATTCAATGAAATCCCACCTTCACCTCGTGTGAATTCCCCCATTTCTCTAGATCAGCGCTTGCCAACCTGGGGTCCCTCAAGATTGCAAGTGGTCCCCCACATAACAGGATTATATTTGTAAAAATTACATTTATGAAATCCCAATAACTCACTCAGCAGTTAATTCTAAGACTTCTCCAGGACTCTGGTGACTTATACTTACATACATAAGCATGTTTTTGGGCTTTCAATCAAACAATTTCATGTATCAGTCTTAGTCGGACCCCTCATTCGAGGCAAAGCTGCCACGGTGACCCCATCGGGAGGTAACACCGTGACAAACCAGCCTTACGCCGGGGACACACCGGCCGCGGAAGCGCCGCGAAGCGCCGCGAAGCGCCGCGAAGCGCCGAGAAGCGAATCGCTCACGAAATTTGGCCGCTGCTTGCCGCTCCTCAGTTCAGATCAGAGGCGCCCCAGTCGAGGCGCGCCTCGACTCAGCTGTAGTTTTTCTTTTAAACACTTGGTGTCCTCCATTTCCTCTCTGCCTTTTCCTCTACGTTTGAGTGTTTGTACGCGTGTGCGTGTGTGTGCGTGTGCGTGTGTGAACCTATGGTATGAGTTGTTTCTGCCAGTTCAATCTCTTGGAACCCGCTCCAGTTCTGCAGCTGTATCCTAGCAGTTTCTTCCGAAATGGGTACGTAAATAATCATGTTTTTCGGGGGTCGTACAGCTCCTTGTGTTTCTCAACTTCCATAATTCATTTAAAGTCATCCATCCTAACTGCTTGCCGCAGACTTTCTGCCTCTCTGTCCTGTTTGCTCCGGTGAAAAGACACCCAAAACCACACCCCCCTTCACGTGGTCACACACGCACACAAGTTCGATGTGTGTGTGTGTTCGTGTGGTTTTTCTGCAGTGTCTGTTTACGAACACATTTGACTATTGCGGAATTTTATTTTGAAATGCTTTATTTTGTTAACTTTACCGGCCTGCCTCTTATGTCTACGTTTGACTTCCTGCCAGAATTGACGCGATTCACCCGCGGCTCGCGAAAAAAATAGAGCCAACGCCGAAATGATCGCTGCACGGCGCGGGCTGGAGCGCCGGCGCGCGCCGGCGCGAAGCGATTCGCGGCGCTTCGGCGGCCCATGTGGTCTATAGAATAGCTTAACAAGGGCGCCGAATGAAGGCAGTCCCATTTTCGCGGCGCTTCCGCGGCCAGTGAGTCCCCGGCGTTAAGCATCACTGGGTGCGCAAACCTATCCACCACATTAAGGTGGTGATTCAGCAGATAGGATTTTTTTTTATTGATTTTTATTGTAAACAACAACAGGGTATGTAACGCCGGGGACACACCGGCCGCGGAAGCGCCGCGAAAATGGGGCCGCCTTCATTCGGCGCCCTTGTTGAGCTATTCTATAGACCACATGGGCCGCCGAAGTGCCGCGAATCGCCTCGCGCTGGCGCGCGCCGGCGCCCCAGCCCGCGCCGTGCAGCGATCATTTCGGCGTCGGTTCTATTTTTTTCACGAGCAGCGGTTGAATCGCGTCAATTCTGGCAGGAAGTCAAACGTAGACATAAGAGGCAGGCCGGTAAAGTTAACAAAATAAAGCATTTCAAAATAAAATTCCGCAATAGTCAAATGTGTTCGTAAACAGACACTGCAGAAAAACCACACGAACACGCACACACATACACACACATCGAACTTGTGTGCGTGTGTGACCACGTGAAGGGGTGTGTGGTTTTGGGTGTCTTTTCACCGGAGCAAACAGGACAGAGAGGCAGAAAGTCTGAGGCAAGCAGTTAAGATGGATGACTTTAAATGAATTATGGAAGTTGAGAAACACAAGGAGCTGTACGCCCCCCGAAAAACATGATTATTTACGTACCCATTTCTGAAGAAACTGCTAAGATACAGCTGCAGAACTGGAGCGGGTTCCAAGAGATTCAACTGGCAGAAACAACTCATACCATAGGTTCACACACACACACACATGCGCGCGCACACACACACACGCGCGCGCGCACACACGTAGAGGAAAATAGCTGAGAAAAGGCAGAGGAAATGGAGGACACCAAGTGTTTTAAAAGAAAAACTACAGCTGAGCCGAGGCGCGCCTCGACTGGGGCGCGTCTGATCTGAACTGAGGAGCGGCGAGCAGCGGCCGAATTTCGTGAGCGATTCGCTTCTCGGCGCTTCCGCGGCC